TTTTTTTAATTTTTCAGCCTAGAAAGCCACGTCTCACACACGTGGCCACATTCATCTGACGTGGTTGAGTACAATGCCAAGGGAAAAAATCAACATTAGTCCCACAGGTTTTGAGAGGTGACATTTTTTGTCCCAACGGAATCTAGAAAATATTAAATAGTCCTGCCACGTGTGTGCGACGTCTTGGCTGGAAAATCAAAACAAAGTCGATACCCAACACAAGATAAATAAGAATCGGCTAAACTTCAAGAGAAACAAAATTTAGGGTTGGCAAGCTTGAATTCTGTTTATGCTTGTCTTTATTTGTTTGAGAGGTACGTGACTTTCGTCGGAGTGTCATCACTAAGTTATCACAAAAACTCGGGGGCATAATTTCTATCAGCCCCTTCGAGGGTAGCTACCCCTTGAAAAAGGCGATAATTATTCACGCTCGGCATTGAGATGAACGTGCAGGAGCAGAAGACAGAACCAATCGATTCGATAAGAAAGATGAAGTGATCTGACGCATATGAAGGAGTATTTCTTTCCACCTTAAAAGATTATGCAGAAATCTTTTAAGGAGGATAGTCGAGTCCGGAGCAAGCACATCGTGAGTTGCCGAACCGTCTTTGTTTTGAATTTTGTCCATCGTAGAAACTCCCGTCCTTCCACTCCTTTTGGAGTTTCGGGAGAAATCTTTTGTTGTCTTGAGACTTTTGTGATCCATTACAAACATGTTATTCTTATTTTTGTGTTGCAACCTGGTGGATCAATTAAGACAAGTATTTTTTTCCACTTGTCTTGTACCAATTCTTAAAATTGTAATTGTGTCTTTTGGACTGAGTAATCCCCCACCGTTCCTGTGGACTTAACGGACCGAGTATTCCATTCATATCAGGGTCAGTATGTCATTGCCCTTATCGATGATATCCTAATTTAATTTCGAGATACTGTCAAGACACCTAATGGAACACGACAAGAGTACCGCGATGTTGTAGTGATGCCTTTCGGGCTAAGCCACGCGCTGATGACTGCCATGAATTGTCTAGTCGCTGTATTTTTCGCCAATAATGTCTCGACATATTCCTGAGAACACTGAGACGTAGCAAGAACATCTGCAGATGCGAACGAAGACATTTTAATGGAAGGAACTTCACGCTTGAATTATGAAGTGAGAAGATTAGGAAGTGAAAATTGAGTTGCGCTCGTTTAGGATTGCTAGCACGATTAGCTACTTGAGAGAGCTGACGTGACAACCGATGCTGTTGGTCGGAAGAGTCGAGACGAGCTAGTTATTGTATCCCTCGGCAAGAGCTGCTGATTTGAGATTATTCCCGACTGAATAACTGTATTAGAATTTCTTTGAGAATTCTCGTCTATATCAATCGTTGATCTCTTCGCGTATTAGAATGTGTCGTTTGAAAATGAAGTGGACTTGGAACTCGAACTTGCACCTTGCAATTCTGAAACCCTTGAACTTTTGAAATTGTGGAATGCCTGATATATATTGCGTTGTTAAACCCAAAAATTTTCGAAATTTGGTAAAACCAATTCCTTTTTGGACCGTCTTGGAGGGAAAATTCAAAACTAGCCTCGCAGGTATAGGGAGTGACATTTTTTGTCCCAACGGAATCCATATTTGATATGAGTCAAATCACTCCATCTGAAGTTCTACGCCAGGAAGGGGAAGTGTAATACCCCATTCGATTGTGGAATATTTGGAGTTATTATTAAGTTTTCTTTATTAATATTTGCTCTCCTTATTATTATTATTTGGTTAGTGTGATTATTATTACTATTATTTTTATTATTTTTATTTTTATTTTTAATGCCTAAATTGTCAAATTGCTATTATTTGTTGTTATTTGTATTTATTTATATTAAATGATTATCGTTATTAAATAAAATTATTGTGTGTGATATGTATATGTATCATGCGGATTAATTTATTACTCACCGTCAATGGAATATCTCGGGAATTCTTATTATCGCGTTGTATTCCTTTCAGCCCGATTAAATTAGTTCCGGCCCAATTTGATTAATTCGGCCCAATTTACCCAAGCCCCATTTATAAGAATTGATTTTAAATCCCAATTAGAATTGTAGATATCTGCCGCGCCTTATCTCTTGATTTCGCTCGCGATGCAGACCGAGTCCTCCCACTTCATATTGTTGTTGCGATATTTGAGGAGATATCTCTCCCACGTTCGTTCCTCCTATATCTAGCCTCGCCATTACTTCTCTTCCAGAGAGTTTCATTCATATTATCATCATCTCCAAAAGCCTTGCGTTAAAAAAAAAAGGAAAAGATTCGAGAACCTGCAAATTCCGGCGACCTCCACCATCCTCGGCGATCTTATTTTCTCGCACAGCCCCTCAATACCCGGCGACCGTCACCATCGAGCAGAAGGCCGTTGGACTCCAAGCATCTCGATCGTGAGACGTCCAACAGCCCAACCACCATTAATCCCGGCGAGCACCTCCGAGCAGCGTTCTGCCGTCGTCGACACCCTCCGCAGTGGTTGACCGCCCGTCGTTGATTCCAGAGCAGCAGTCGTTCGTGAGCTGCGTCGTTTCCAAAGCTTTCGGGCTTCGAGTTCCGTCCGTTCGCCCCGTTCGTCCAACCCGCTTTTCCGATTTCTTGGAGATTCTCGAAGACGGGTAATCTCCTGAAACTTTCTCATAAATTGTTGATCGAGATTATATAATTGGTTTATTTTCATTCACTGAATCATTTCGTTGGTTTCGAGTTCGGTTTAATTGTTGTTTCATATATTTGTTATTTAATTTGTATGTTCGTGAATTTTTAGGGATGACTGGAACTCTCGATTTCATAAACGGTGAATATCGTTATGTCGCTGTGATAAATTCGTTTAAGTTCGGAGTCTCGTTTTATCGTTTTCAAGCCGTGTTAATGCCGTTTTGTTTCCCGAGCAAACCCATCTTCCCCTACAATTTTCGAAGTCTGAAATTTAATTTATTTTGAAAAAATTTCGTTATGTTTTGAACCTGAGTTGCATTTGGATTTTGCGTATTTGGTCGTCATTTGCTGTCGAAACCATTCGCGTAGTAGAATCTGTAGCTGCCAGATGAAGCTTCTGTTCGAAATATTTTTCCTGGTTCTGTTCTCAATTCTGTTCAGTTTGCTGCTAGTCATATCCGCACGTTCGGTTTTATTCTAAGTTTCCCTTCAAAAAAATCGACTAAGCTTGAAAGGTGCAGTGGTTTTTGTGCAAATTTGTGTTGGACGTACAAGGTTCGAACCCCAGCCCTTGCAGAATAGCTTTTTTTTTACAAAAAGCCAGCTTCTTAGCGCGCGGGCTTTCTGGCCCGAACTTCGGCCCGCGCGGCCCGATCCCTCACTCAGCTGCGCGCCCGCGACTCCGCTGCCCCGCTGCCCCGCCCGCATGGAAACCTGCTGTCCAGCCTTTGTTCAGGCCCAAAAATCCGGCCCAGTTCCCTCTCATGCGGCCCAATAGCTTACTTGGCGGCCCAAGGCGGCTTTTAAGCCAAATTTTGTGTTTCGGAGCCCGGTTTTTGAGCCGAACTTATTTTTTTAAAATTATTTTCAAAGTAGAAAAATTTGGGAAAATTATTTTAAGTCCCGAGACTCCAAATTAATTTTTCGAGTCCTATTTTTACAAAAATGAGAGAGTTCCAAGTCCACGAAAAATCCGATTAAAACCCTTAAGTCTTAATTTTTATTAAGTATGGGTTTAGATAAATTCGAAAAGTGAGATAGTTTATTGATAAATGATCTCACTTAAATGTAGGTGTTTGAGGAGTCGAGCCTCATCCTACGTACTCTCTTTTTTGTGTTATATTCTACCGAAATTTCCAGGTGGGTTGTAATTGTAAAATTTACTATGCCTTAATTAATTGTTTTTGCTGTTGTATGATAAAAGTATGCATGTAAAACATGTAGCCTTCGATGTGAGCTATATTGGCCGTCGAACGATTATCCCCTTAGCTACAGAACGTACCTTCGGGTAGTCTCCTTTATTATTGTTGGCAGTCAGGGCGTGAGCCTTGGCTGGTGATCCTCGTATGTAAGGCCAAGGCGTGAGTTTTGGCATTCGAGGTGGATTATTGTCCTGCTGGTCGGGCACTCATTGTAAGGCCTTCGAGGAAGAAGTTCGGTATATAGATCGGCAGTAGTCTATTGTTATAGGTGTGCACATGAGACCATTATTGATTAATGATAGGAGATGGGACGGTTATTGATTCCTATACATGCTGCGACCATACTTAAATTTTTTTCATGATTATTGAGATTAATTATTGCATAGCGGTGAGCACCTCAACTTTCCTATTGTGCTTGTCCCCACCTGCTCTTTATGGATGCAAGTTAGTTTATGCGGCACGGCGGAAGGGATGCGAGTGGTGGTATTTAATTTGAATAAATGCTTGCGCTTTGAAATGAACTTGGATATTATTGCATTATTATTGATTATTGTTTTTCTAATATTGGAGTATTGGATTATTGATAGGGATTATTTCCCTAGGATTATTGTTAGATTATTGATTGATTATTGGAATTTTCATACTGATTATGAGTATTGATAATTGCCGAGTATTGAGAAAATGTTGAGCATTGATTATTGTTTTGAAAATGAGTAGCGCCTCAAATATTATTTTTGAAACAAATTTAAAAAAAAAAATTATTCTGGCTTTCGGTAAATAACGTGGGGCGTTACAGTTTGGTATCAGAGCCAGTTTGCGTTTCTGTAGACTGGTTTAAGTATAAAAAAGTTGATTATGTGATTATGTGTTTCAAATTCATGTTAAGACCACTCGCTCTCGTCATGCCGCACCAGCTCAGGTATGAGTACCTGAATGACTTTGAGATTTTTGTATATTGGTTGATTATTGATTATTGGAATGAAATCGGGGTTAGGACTAATCCACCTTTAAATGCAAACTTTAGTGTTGAACTCTAGACATCTTTTATTATTGTGTTAAACTGTTCGACCTATTTTCAATGTAAAACTATGGCTCGTCATAATGCTCGCAACCGTCAGTCTACTCCGTCTCCACCTCCGTCTCCATCCCCATCTCCACCTCACCAGCAGGCTCCCAATCCGGCTGGGGCTTATCTCAACATTGTGATTCGGTTTCGCCAGTTGAGCCCGCCGACTTTTACCAGGGTCGAAGGGCCCGAAGCAGTGGCAGAGTGGATATGTCAGTTAGAGCAGAATTTCAATTTGCTGCTGTGCACCGACGCCCAGAAGGTCGTCTGTGGCCATTATATGCTGAAGGGCGATGCCGCCCTATGGTGGTCCGGCTATTTGAAGTTGAGGCAGGCGGAGTTTAATGCCCTGACTTGGGATCGCATGAAGGAGGTGATCATGGAGAAGTATTATCCTCAGAGTTATCGCATGAGGATGGAGCGCGCTTTCTAAGATCTCAAGCAGAGAGCAGGATCAGTCGAGGAGTACGAGCGAGAGTTCACCGCATGAGCGCCTTTGCTCCACATATGGTGGACACCGACCTGAAGAAGGCCCACAAGTTTTGGGATGGACTGAACCGAACTCTCCGTATGCATGTTGCCAGCAAGAGAAATCTTTCTTTTGGTGAGACCGTTATCCGAGCCGTCCAGCTTGAGAGTTATCAGACTCTCGATGCTTCCGTCCCTTATGCTCAGCTAGTTCAGCCTATTTCCTATGCGCCGCCCGACTCTAGTTCGGGCAAGAGAAAGTTTGATTCCCGCCGGGATAACCGGAAAAGAAAGCATGGGGCACCAGACCGCCGTGACATTCCACCAGCTGCCCATGGTCAGAACTCGAAATGCTCCAAGTGTGGCCGCTATCATCATGGAGATTTACGTTTCACCCAGAAGGTCTGCTTCAAATGCATGAAGCCCAGAAACTTCTTCAGCCACTGCCCCGAACCCCCGAGGCAGCAGCCTTACCAGCAGCCCCATCAGCAGCAGCAGCTTCCTCCTCCACGTTACCAGCAGCAGCAGCAGCACAGGCACCCCCACCACACCAGCAGAGGGCTGGGGGTCAGGCTCGTGTCTATACCATTGCTCACGACGAGGCAGCCATCAACACAGGTACCATGTCTGGCATGATTTTGTTATCCAATGTGCCTATCTTTGCGTTATGTGACACTGGAGCTACTCATTCCTTTATATCATCTCAATGCTTGGAGGCCCTGTCTATTGATAATGTGTGCAACTGTGATCCTCTCGAGGTTAGCCTGGCCTCGAGAAAAATTATTATCTCCGATTCTATGGTTCCTGGTCTCCAAGTTAGTATTGGTGGGCATGTTTTGGAGGCCGACTGCTATGTTATTGAAATGCGGGACTTCGATGTGATCTTGGGCATGGACTGGCTTACTCGCTATCGAGCTGACATTCGGTGCCAGGAGCGCGAAGTCAGTCTCATCCCCATTTCTGATCAGCCTGTTATTTTCTATGGGGTGAAGTCGAGGACTGTGCCTCTAGTCATCTCTTCTGTGCAAGCTAGGAAGAGCCTTTCCAAGGGTAGCTGTCAAGGCTATCTCGTATCTATGGTATCCGAGGATGACTCTAAGAGGTCCCCGGAGAGAGTTTCTATCGTTTGTGAGTACCTCGACGTTTTCCCCGATGAACTGCCCGGAGGACCGCCCGACCGCCAAGTTAAGTTTACCATTGATCTAGTACCAGGATCCGGCCCTGTTTCTAAGGCCCCTTATCATATGGCGTCGAAGGAGCTTCAAGAGCTCAAGGCCCAGATCCAGGAGTTGCTCAAGCTCGGTTTTATTCGGCCGAGTGTTTCGCCGTGGGGAGCGCCCGTCCTATTCGTGAAGAAGAAAGACGGATCGATGCGTATGTGCATTGAATATCGGGAGTTGAATACTAATACAAGTCTAACGCTC